AACATGAATTTCCACCGAGGTCATGTGATATTACGCCGTGTGATTTCTTTTTGTGGCCTTACCTTAAAAACACTATTTTTGAACTGCCTATTCCTGATTTAAACCATCTGCAGGCTCGACTTATAGACAAGATTCGTGAAATTAACAATACCCCGAGCATCTTAGAAAATGTCTTTAATTCTTTGAGGAACAGGTGTGAAAAGTGCTTGGAACAAGGAGGGTGACACTTTCCGCAGCTCCTTTAATTGTTTGTTATTGTTATCACGATTATTTAAAATAAAGTTATATAGTCATTAACGTTATTGAAACTGACAGCTGCTATACAGCTCGTTGAGAAATGAGGTTAAGTTGGTCGCTATAAGCTACTCCCTACGTCTAATGTGTCAGAGCCAACTTCGACCACGTTTTTATTTGAACGCTCGTTACCTAATAATACTACCTACAGAAATTGGGATATATGCCAATATGCATATATCCCAATATATATGCAGAATTACATAAAATAAAAATCAAAATAGAGAAAGAACAGCTAGCTGTGGCATTAAAACAAAAAGTAGAAGAAAAAATTGCCAATTTTTAAAAAACAAAACTACATATTAACAAAGTTAACGTTTAATTTAGCATTTTATTGAGACGATGAGAAAGAACTGACTGTTTTTGCCTCCCGCTCGTGCTCGGTCGGCCCGGTCCCGGTCCTCTCGCGGTAGGCCCCAACCAACTTAAGAAACAGAAAATTCCTATATATACCAGTCAACGTACTACAGCAAAATCAAAGTTACTAAAGTGGAACCGAAACGACCAAACTTCGCCGAGTTTTGCTGTAGTATCCATTATAAAACATAAAAAGCACCGTGTGCTTAAGTCGTACTTAAGTCTGAGTTCGAGTCAAGTATCGACTATAAGTACGGGTATAAATGTATCATCACAACGGGCCTGGATCATAGACGGTAATCTAACTGGTCACGTGGCTGCAAGCTTTACTCTGTAGTTTCTTATGGAGTATCGCACGTCCGCGTAGGTTCAGTCGCTGGTATGCTAGGAGGCCGTGACGCTGGTCGCTGTAAGAATGAATGCAATATTGCATTCTTCAAGTGACCACCATGCGAGATGGATGTGGAAAATTTGATAAGTCTTGTGCATATCAAGCCACCTCTCTGGAATCAGGCACATCCGGATCATTAAAATAGATTTGTTGTGGCTAAATTATAGGATGGTATTGCCGCAGAAATGAATGTGGATCGTAAGTTAAAATTTTATATTATTTTCGTATACATTATTAAATCACCAAAATTTTATAGGAAATAGAAAATCTAATAGAAACCTACGGTCTAGCCAGGCAAGTACGGAACCGGACGAAATGGTCGAAGAAAATTACGAATCACAAACGGCTGTTTTAGAGGCTCAGAATAGTGAGGAATTATTGAGGAATTATGGACGAATCACAGAATAACCAACAAATGACAGAAGATTAATCAAAATCAGCGATTTCATTGTCTCCACGTGCCGAAACAGTTGAAGAACCTAGAGTATCTTTGGTGAACAGAAAGCACACTTTCCCAAACGAAGTATATGGCCAAGCCTTGCTGAATACCGAGAAAAAAATTGGAATATCTAAAGCAGAAAAATTTAAAGAAAAGCACAATTATTCCAGACTCAAATTATCACAAAGTGTTCATTGAGAGTTAGCTACCGTTCGTTTCAAAGATACCTTCTCATGAAAAATTATTATTTTAAAGTCAAGTCCAAGAACTTGTACAAAAATTTGAGCCACAAACATGACAGCCAAAATATGGCGTTTTGGTTTTCAAATATTCAAAAATGATAAAAGTAAAATATTGATTAGGATTAAGAATTATCCTGCCTATTTATTGCTTATTTCTTACTAATACTATTTTCCTAATACAAGAATGTCATTTTTTATGTAATGGTATTGAGTAATAATTATCGCGTTTTGTAACACACTATTTTTATAAATTGATCGGCTACTTTTTCATTTGTTTCTATAGCTTTGGCAGTTGATGTTTGGATGTTGCGGATGCGGATTTTTTCACATCCGCGGATGTGAATGCGGATGCGGATTTTTGAAGGCTCACATCCGCGGATGCGGATGTTTAAGATCTTATATAAATATAGTATATGACTGAAGAATTAAAACAATGATAAAGTCATTATTAACATTTTTATTAATGAAAATTAGTATTAAGTATAATACTCCTATTTTTTTTTTAACTTCACTTACTAATTTTCATATTATTAGTAATTAGAATGAGGAGTAGAGATATTATTATTATTATTATTATTATAAGAAGTCAGTTTGATGGTAGAGATGCGTTATAGTACACCTCTTTCAACTATTCCTTAAGTTATTTCGTTTTGTCCGGGTACAATGAGAGTAATAGCAAAAATAGGGGCTAACTTTGTAAGTCGCGCAATTTCCACCCCCGGACTGGACAAGTCAATTTGATGGTAGAAATGCGTTATAGTACACCTCTTTCAACTTTTCCTTAGCTCATTTCGTCTTATGCGGGTACGATGAGAGTTATAGCAAAAATAGGGGGCTAACTTTGTACGTCACGCCATTTCCACCCCCGGACGGATTTTGACCAGATTTTGTATAAAGGAGTTTTTGGGTCGCTGATTACGAATATGAATTCACATTGTAAAAATTCAAGATGGCTGATCCAATATGGCGGGTGTATTTTTTTTAAATCCACCGATTTCAGTAAAATTTGGCATCATAAGGATTGCTGGTTGATCTCACCTTCATTAATTACACATCTGGAGCCAGATTTTCAGGTGGAATCAAATTTGTAGGCAGAGTCATAATTTTAGGCCGAGTAGGAAAAATTAAATTGTCAGTAAATGCTTATGTCAATACAACTATTTAGGTACAAAAACCACTAATGATCGAAACTCTACAACGCCTGTGAGCTTGGAAAATATGAATTGAAAATAGCATCTTCTTAGATAATAAATTCCGCCAACGCCAAACTAATGAAGCTTTCGGGCTGAAATTTTTACCACTTATTAAGGGTGCAAAACGTCTCAAAAATCCTGAATCACAAGTGTCTGCGATGAAAATTGTATTTATTATTAGCAATTGAACAAAGCGGACATTTTCGACCAATTTTGAGCTCTTGCGCATAAACAAATTATCGGAATTTAATCGGACTTGTCTTATTTAACAGATTTATTTAATACCTACCTTTTTTGTATAAAACTTTTTTCTCTATGAATAACAGTTTTTTTACGCGAGTCAAAAAACCACATTTCCATAATTTTGACCATTGTTTCCCAACTAGTCTCGAGTTGATTTTTTGATATTTTGTTTATAACACGTTTCTGAACAATATTCCGCAGAGAAACTTCTAATAGTATTTTTTTCCCGACAAAAAGCTATAATGACTGGCCTAAGATCTTTCCATACTGTGAGAAGTAATTGTTTATTGTATAATCTTCATCTTCTTCGTCTTCATTGAGATAGGCACATTTTTTAACTTTTCTGAGAAATTTATTATGAAAATAAAAATGAAACATTATACCAATAACATAAGTACAGAAATGTGACGAATTGGGAAACTTTATAAACTATTTTAGATACTTGAAAAGTCTGCAAACATATAATAATTAGCAAATTAGACACTACTAAAATGACCAACTTATTTAAGTGCTTACTTACGTAAAAATACTTAGATAACTATTTGTTTACAAGCTTTTCTGGTGAGCAGACTTTTGGAAAATGTTTACCTACATGTTGGTTGATGTGCCTGGCCAGGAATTTTCCTAGGAGGGGAAGGAGGCGAGAGCCAGTTTATGGAACAAAAGGTATGGTATGTGGAACCATGGTTTCAGAAATACTAAGAATATACGGTTATATGGAGGAATTTAGTGCAAAAGCCTTCCTACCCAGTGACAAATAGTGGCCTAAAGTGATTCAATCTGATGAATGTTTTACACTAAACGCCTCTAAGCAAATAAATAATATTATATGTACTTATGTTTGTTAAAATTTTTATATTAATTAAAACTATATAGAACGAATGGCCAATAATAATGTAATTTTTGAAACTTGCAGCATGCAGCAAGAATTAAGGGGGAGGGGGACGGACGTGCCCCCCCCCCCCCTATGGCTGCTGCCATGTTTTTTATTCAAATAACAACAAAATTATTTAAAGAAGATAATATAATGCAATTTTATTAACATTTATGTTAGCATATTAACTTTGATAAAAGTTCAATAAATGGATATATTCAAAGTAGAACATTCTCGCTGCCCATTAGCAACAGTATTCAGTAACATAATACGGGATATTTCATGAAGAGGAGTAGAAACTTGCGGGAACATTGCACAGTTAAAAGTAAGCAAAAGATTTATAAAATATGTATAAACCTTGTTCGGGAAATGTACTATTTCCCAAATATCACTTTCAAATTTTTTGAAAACCAATTTTAATAATGAAAGACCTCCAAAAATTTCATACAGTAATTCTTTTATTTAATTTATTTCCGTATCTCAGTTAATTCACAAATAAACATAAATTAAACAGTTTATATAACATTCTTATAGAATTAACAACTAAAAAAGATAAGAAAATGTTGCAGTTGATGCGGTTATATTTGCAATATGATGGAAACTTGGAAAACAAAGAATGACCTTAAAAGTTTTCTGTTATTTAAATTCGCATTACATTACAAGTTGCATGCGTCTGGACCCATCTTTAGAATCACTAGGTATTGAATTGGAATATTTATTATTACAAATTGTAAATGTATTTATTATACGTTGAACAATATTTAAAAATTATTTACGCCTGTCCCGAAGATACTGTTAGATATAATTTTAAACTGTGAACATACAATTACAGCAGCTAGTGTATTACAAAATACATATTAATTAAGTAACATACTTACCACAGCATAAGAGGAACCACAGTTTCCGTGTTCTTGCAAAATCCTCTGCAATGCACGAATGTAGTTGATTGCATGTTGTAACGTCTTTACTTTACTCACTCTTTTTCCTCTGCAATTAATAATTAAATTAATTTATAATGTACAAAAAATATTTAGAAATAGATAAAATAATTTTCAAGCAGCAATTGTTTGCTTAAATCGAAAAACATTTTGAACTTGTTCAATAAACATTTCATTGACCGAAACTATTAAGGCAATATTTTTAATTCCTATAATTAATTAATTACTGCCAGTGAAACTGACTTGCACATTAATAATTAAATATATCAGAAAATGATTAGATACAGTCCGCACAATATTTGTTGAGATAGAATTCCAAGAAAAGATTAAGCCAATAAAGTTCTGTTATTGAAACTACTGTAACAATTTACAGCGGTAAAGGCGTGCCTTGAAATTTTACGCGTCATTTTCAAAATAATAAAATATCTTTATATAAAATAAATATACGGGTTGTCCCACTAAGGTTGGCGAGGTATGATGTTAGGAAAAGTATAGGCCCTAGAGCTTCGGGGAAAAAAAATGGTTGAATAAATCGACCAAGAAAAATTACTGGAAATAGTTTTCAAGTTCTTAGCTCGGCCGCTAGGTGGCGCAATTTACATATCAAAACATAGTTATGGCCACCTAGTTCCCCGGATCTTACCGTTATTGAAAAAATTAAAGATATTGTGTTTCAAACTCGCCCTACAACTGTGGAAAATATGCAACGAATAATAGGAGATGCAATTGCCACCATCTTAAGAGCAGAAAATAATGGTATGCATTTCGAGCATTTATAAACATCTTTACTTTTGTTACTTGTTATTGTTTTTGTTTTGGCAATTAAATGTCCTTTCGTTAGCGTCGTGTTCCTCAACTCATTATCATTATTTATTTTTTGGTCACTAATTTGCGAATAACTTGATAATAAAAAAAAGATATCGAACCTTTTTTGGCGTCTATTTTCATGCTCTTCAAACTAACCTATAAAAAGTTTTTATCCCTACACGTGAAACTTGGAAATAACTAAATAGGCTATACCACTTAAACAACAGTTTTTAGAAATTTCAAACTTATGCTATATTCACAATTTTTTGTGCTGAATTCATTTATGTAAAGAAAACTATTTAGAGAAAACTCATTTAAAATTTTTGAGAAAAATAAAACGGCATTGTTTCATTTCGAAAAATGCCATTTAAAGGTTTCCACATTGAGGTAAATGACATTATGCATTCACCACAAGATAAAGCATGAAAAGACCTTTACGATGTATAACACTATGGGCTTTTGATGAGCCAATGCTTAAAAAATGCATTTTTCTGATCAGACATTGGGGGCTTCCCCCTCCCATTCTGTCGAGACATAGGACAAAATGTCAATAACAAAAGTTATGCGCAATGAATCCGGCTATCCATATTTGTATTATTAAATATACCTGAACAGGAAACATTTCTGAGAAAATTCAACTCTATGTTTTGGTATGTAGATTGCGCCCCCTAGCGGCCGAGCTAAGAACTTGAAAACTATTTTCAGTGATTTCTCTTGGTAGATTTATTGAACATTTTTTTCCCGAAGCTCTACGTCTATACTTTCCCTTATATCGTACCTCGCCGCCAACTTTAGTGGGACACTCCGTATATATCCATATGGGGTTCTATGCCAAATCACTGAGGTCGTGACCCGACTATTTTTAATTTTCCTGATTTTTTGGTATTATTTACTATCCATTTAAAGTAGCTTTCATGAATTTTTTCAAATTTTTATTTCAACCCTCAAGAAATTATAAGCATTTGAATTTTTTGGGTAGAAAATATTCAAATACCTGTAACTTGCTTCAATTTGTTCGTTTTGAGATGTAGTTTTAAAATATATATATATAAATAATACATTTATAGTTCTTTAGGGTATTTTTTATTTATAAATCAAAAAAGTGTTTTCTGAGAAAGAGTGGAGTTATTTTATTCCAAAATTTCTCAAATAAATCGTCTTTTACTNATATACATAAATAATATATTTTTAGTTTTTTGAGTTTTTTTGATTTTTGAACCAAAAAAGTGCTTTTTGAAGAAGAGTGACGTAATCTTTTCTTGGAAAAATTCTCAAAAAATCGTCTTTCAATATGCAAAGTTATAAGACGGGTTCTAACGTGGGATCCTTTTTATTCTATTTTATCCGAATTATTTTTTTTGTATTTAATTTTTTAAAGGTCATGTAGAAGTAAATCGCAATGAGTAATTAGTAAAAATACCATATTTTAAAAGTACTTCCGTTAATATTGTCATTAATACATATCTAAATTATTATAACTAAATATTCCGATTTTTTCTTCTTTTTCAATAGAAAAAAGTTTGTTTTGCATCATGCTATTTTATATTTTTGAACATTTGTATTTAGTATTTTTGACCATTTTATCATATTTTCTATATTATTCCATTAAATATTCCCGCCGGTGGTCCAAGCTCCACTTCGAATGATTCAACATTTGACTCCTGTGGTTGTTAACTTAGCCTTAATGGCTAATTGGGTACTAAATAATACCTAACAAAAAATCAGGAAAATTAAAAATATAATGTAGATCTTTTTTTAATTAAAATGTGTTTTTATTTCTTTTACAGGACAGTGGAGTACAAATCATAAATAAACTAGACGATAATACAATTATAGGTACTGAAAATGCATGCAATACTTACGAAGAAACACCTTCGTAACTGCAAAACACAGTATATACCTACATAGCAAGCTGCTACGGTGAACGCCACGCCGTCAATGTCTTTCTACCACGGGTGTGGAATGCGGTTAATTCCAACAAATATCGTGCGGACTGTAAATGAGCGATATTTTATAAATTCGTTAAAATTAAATATATCTAAATACGCAATAGCCTCATACACGAAAGAGGACACAATTTTAACTTATAATTAAGAAATTAATAACATTACTATTAAACGTTGTTTATCTTATAAAGATTATTTGATTCTAAACTTTCTTTTACGAGCCATATTAACAATATGGTAGGTTCGGCTCCCAAGATTATATAACATTTTTATTAATAATATGAGCGATTTTTCGAATGTTGCTTCAATTAATTCGTTATATGTGTCACTAATTGGGAGTAAATTAGAATATGGATCAATTATCTGACATACTGTATATATAAAAATTCTATTCATCAAACAGCGTCGGTACAGCGGAAGTTTATTTCTTAAAAAAATGGTGTATATCCTGAGAAGATGCATAGCCAGTAAAGTGTTACTTCATGCTTATCAGTGCAAGACATTGTTGCTTAGAAGCAGCAATTTCTTATAAGTAGAATTTAATAAACTACAAAATCGACTGCCCTGCTCTATTGGAAAAATTGAAATTATTTGTTCCAAGGTTAGAAACTCGGAAAAATATTGCTTTTTTATTGTGAAATGTCAATTTAAACCAAAATTTGGAATCAAAACACACAATAAAAATGCAAAATAACAGTAAGTTGTGAACACTGTAATTCTGTGAATAAGTTAAAATGAATGGTAACTCTGATAGTGACGAAGAATTTACGAATACTCCACCGGACTTACAAGAGGAATCTAGCAATATTTCTCTGAACTTATTACCTACAAAGTCAATACAACGGTACGAAAGGTATTATATCAATTGTTCAATAACTGGAAAAAGAATAAAAAAGCCAAAAACAGAAAATGTACTACATACTTGCTTATCTATCAGAAAGATCAAAGATTGTAAATGCAGGTATACTACGGCCTGAATTTTCAATGTTGAAAAGCACTTTTAAAGTGATGGAAAATATTCATTTTGATAATTTTCATAAGTTCGACCTAAATCGCAATATTTTTACTTCGGAAGTCTATGCACGAATTTTGGCCCATTACCTATGGACCACCTTGTATTATCATATCGCCGATTTTCCAAACTAATAATAAAATTGTTATCAAAATAATATAACAAACTCTGAGAATTGAAATAAGAAAAAAATATTTTTATGAGCATATCCTTAAAACAAAAATAATTTTTGATTTAGCTGTTAACAGAAACAGTAAGCAACATTGGATTTAGCGATATAAAACAAGGGTACTTTTTGATTTAAAACTGCAGTATTTCTGTTATTTTTTTTTTTAATCTGAACCAATTAGTATTGAAGTTATGTATAGTATATGAAATATTAGTACCAAATTTGATATTTATACAGAGTAAAAAATAGTTTAAGTGGGCATCACTTTTTCATAGCTATTTCGGTAAAAAAAACTATTATATTTATTATACCTATATTTCATATAAAAGTTAAATAGTTTCTTTCCCTAAACTAATTATTTTATTCCAATTAATAACACGTTCTGCTTTAAAATTAAAAAATAATAATAATAATTTTACGAAATGCTTTTTAATACCAGACTATGTTTTCTGATTCTAACACTTAAAGGTCTCAAAATGTCGCTATAATAATGTTTATTACATTGTCAAAGTAAGTAGGTATCATTGTAATAAGCAATTTTTTAATTTCATTTATCAATTGTTTTTTATAGATGGTACTTGACAGACATATATTTGAAATATTGAGTGGAATTTTTTTCTTTATAAAAAGTATAAAAATCAATGTCAAATATATATCTAAATCCTCCGTTAGGAATCAATAACACTGGCGCTTTTGTAATCAAAATATTAGTCTAGTTTCTCTGTTGGCTTTGATAGAAAACAAATTTATAAATATTGTAGAATAATACGAAGATATATTTGATACTTTAAGTAAATAAATGGCAAATGAAATAAGAAACCGAAAATTGATGTATGGGATACTTAAAGTACCTCAAATTTAAATCTTTTTATAAAGTAACTGGACACTTCACTTTTGGTACCCGTACTCATACGTTATTCTAAGCATTTAAGTGAGGCAAAATGAAAAATATCATATTACCTAACATTCTGAATTGGAACAGCTTTTCTCAATCTTACAAAGGCGGTATTGACGGCTTGGACTCGTCTTCTTTCTCTTGCGTTCCTTCTGGCAACAACCTGCGCTGGCTTGTCTTTGTGGGGCACGTGACGATAACCACAATTTTTTCTATTTTTCTCTCTCAGGGGCTGCTTATTGGATACTTGCTTTGGGAAACTCTCATCTGCTGACACTACAAGGGAGCTGGACGTCTCGTATATCCAAGGATTTTCGTTTTTAGAAACATCACAAGAGAACATGTAAGACGATACTTGACTATTATAGTCCCGATATGACATATTTCATATTACGTTTGGTTTTTTGTTGAGCGGTATCTTCGTGAGTTCTATCATTAATGAGGTTCACCTCTGACTGAAGATGGTATCATGAAGGCAACTTTTAATTTTAAATCGCCCGCATACACCTGGTGGAGGCGGGGTTAAAGTTAGCGACTTTTTAACACTTTCAGCTGTTCTTTGATGCTTTTATCCATGTAATTTACCAATTAGCCCTTGTTTACGGTTTTGTTGTGATATTTTGAGTGATGTATGCGAATTAAAATAGGTTGTTAAGAGTTTACCAAATCGTTTGTGGAAATTGGTAGGTAAATATACAAAAAAGATTGAGCACACCTTCCGATATATGCGGATAATATAAAAATATTGTCCGTAATTGTGTTTTTTTTTTCATGGTAAATAACCATTTGCACCAAAAGATCAGTTTAAGTGTTAATTTTATAAATATAATTTAATTATATAAATATCATATTTTAAAAAGACTTTTCGAAAACCTCATCACTTTTCATTTTCAATTTTTTAAATCAGATTGTAATATTGAAAAGCATAAGTAATTGTAATATTAGATTTTTCATAAGGGCAATTTTATATAAAATAATTGGTGAATGAAATTTAAAAAACTGCATATTACAACGATACCTTGAAAATATAAAAATCATGGCGTCATTTCGAGACCTTTAAGAGTTAAAAACAGAGAACATCGTGATATCATTAAAAAAGAATTTGATACATTTAAAATATGCGTGGCAGGGCAGTTTGTTGTTAAATGGAGTAACACAAATATTTTAGGGTAAGGAAGAAATTATAGACTCCGTGATTATTTTGCTAAACAGTGAAAATTTATACAATTATTGTTCACTGAATAGTGATTGTCACATTCTACACTGAGGTAAGTAATAATAAAAAACAAATATTTAATGATATTTCTCTTATTCTAATCCAAAAGATTACCAAAGAAGTCAGAGAATTATACAGGAAATGGTGGGGGCTGCATATTATTACTCAGCAGACCACCTTAACTACAATTCAATACAGAAAAATGATGTACAAGCAATATATCATTTTTAAAGAAATCCTTGATTGTTCCATACATCTTTACCAATTTGTTGAAGAAAACTCAATCTACCTGTACTTCATTTTAATTGGATCTGGTATTGATTTTTTTTTAAATGTATCCGAAATGTTTTTCCTTAAAATCAAATGTTTCAGCTAGGACAATATTTTTAAAATACTTTGTATATCACAGTTTTCATGTTTAGTAAAAGGCGTATTTTTTTTGTAAGATACAGGATATTTTTTATTCCCAAAAATACAGATTAATGTTATTATTGAATATTCTGATTTTGTTTGGCTTTAAATTTTACTCTATTCAAACATCTTTAAAGAAGCAATTTAAAACAATAAGAAAGTCTATCTATATTTCTTATAATCAAATAAATAAAAATATGTCGTACGAATGAAATTTTACGCAATCAGTTTTCTCATATCCAAATAGTCACTCAATATCTACATAATATAAGCACGTGATAAAAGTTTATTTCTTGAAAATAACAATGCACGCATATATAATTATTAATCCACAAAAGAAGGTAGAAATCAAAATCATCTGCCCTTTAAAAGGTGATTATATGAAAATCTGACCAGGTGGTGACTTAACAGAAACAATTTTCAGCTGTTCGGATCGAAATAAATAGACCCTCAATTATTTTATAGTTCTAATTATTCTTAGTAGTGGCGTCTCAGATGGTTCACTTCAATATTGCCATTTATAAAATAGTTACAGTGGGTGTTTTATTACTTTCATTATGCCTTAATTAAATGTTTATAAAGATTTTTTAAATTTTTTCAGTAATTAAAGATCCACCGCAATAATTAATTAAACCCTCACTCTAAAAAAATATATTTAAACATGATATAGACTTTTTGGAAATAATAAAGACTTAATTTTATGTAAAATTAGTCTTTAATATTTGACATACGGGGTCTGTTCAGAAAATAACCGAACTTTATTTTTTTAAACTTTATTATTAATTTTATACATGATTGGTCCTTGTCTCCTTCAAAATACTCCCTTCCCCTATTCACAGACTTTTTCCAGCGGTGTTTCCATTTCACGAAGCATTTGAAATGGCCTTTAACGTATGTGATGAATTTGCTTTGATATCATCAATAGTCTGAAAACGGCGTCCTTTCAGCACTGATTTTAATTTCGGAAACAAGAAAAAATCACAAGGAGCCAGGTCTGGCGAGTAAAGAGGGTGAGGGAAGACAGTAATTTAATTTTTGGCACACAACTGACGAATTGACAAAGCTGAGTGTGCGAGCGCATTATTATGGTGCAATAAGAACCACGAGTTGTCTCACCACAACTCTAGTCTCTTTTTGCGGATTTTTTCATGTAACCGTTGTAAAACACCTTGATCGTATACACTGTTTCACGGTGAGACAAAAATTCAATTCAATTATTAAAGTCGAAAAAAACAATGAGCACTTTAATATGGGATCGATACTGACGTGCTTTCTTGGGGCGTGGAGATCCTTTGCCAATCCATTGTGATGATTGAACTTTTGTCTCAATATTTTGTAGAAATAAACCCAGCTTGCGTTTCCCGATATGATTCTATCAGTGAACGTTTCATTGTCATTGGATTGTTCAGGAAGTTGCCGGCAAACGTCTACACGATTTTCATTCTCTTGTTCGGTCATCAAACGAGGAACACATTTTGCAGCAACTCGACACGTGTTCAATTTTTCAGTCAAAATTTCAGGCATGACCTAATTGATATGCTAACCTCTTCTGCAATTTCTCTAACAGTCAATGATTATTGGTAATTTGCACGCACCAAATCTTCTACTTTCTGAATATGGTAGTAATCAGTTGAAGTAGAAGGCCTTTCTGGTCATGGATCATCTTCAATTGACTGACGACTTGTAAATCGTGAAAACCATTCATAAGATTGAGTGAAGACTCAAAGTATTTTAAAAGTTGAAACGTTTTCCTGAAAGTTTTCCCCAGTTTCACCCAAAATTTTACATTACATCGTTGTTCCAGAAAGTGGCACATTTAAAAAATCGTCACTAACATTTAAATACGTTCATTGAAATAACAATATTACGGAAACTAAATGAGATATCAACAATCCAGGAACATGTGGTTACAGAAGAGGATATGCGCAACGCAATGCCGCCAACCGCATATTACTAAATATCTCCATTAGAGCATAATTTAAAAACTTCATTTTTTTCTGAAGAGACCTCGTATATGGGTAGTCCTGAGGTAATGGGCCAAAATTCACGGGTAGATTCGTGAACCAAAAATATTGCGGTTTAGCCAAACTTACCTTAGTCCAAAAGTTGATAGTTAGATAGGCATATTGTTTACTAATATTACCTATTGTACTGTTCATTCCAATTTTTAATTCTAAATAAACCCCTGTTTTTTTGACATATCTAAATTATTTTAACTATTAGCACTGAAAGATTCAAAGGCAAATATCTTGGAAACGGTGCAAGACAGCTAAATTCATAAAGTATATCTTTTTTGTATATAAAAGTTGGAAAATAAGAATTTAACACAAAAGATGAAATATCTTAAAGTATAAAAAAATTATGTCGTTTTTAACACATTCAATCAACTGCAACTAGCGCCCTCTATGAAATATAACCACAATGTGAACAGATTTCAATATCTTCCCCAAAGAACCCCAAACTCCGAAATTTTGTGTAGATATTTGCATTTATTAAAAAATAAATGAAAAAAAAAACTAGAATAATATTTTACATTTAACACCCTGTAGCTCTTTAACTATCAACTTTTGGACTAAGATACGTTCAGCTAAATCACAATATTTTTGCTTCAGATCTCTAACCATGAATTTTTGACCCATTACCTGTATTAATATTTAAAAAATATTTTTTCTACTCATACTCCACTACATATGAAGTGAGGATTTATCACGGCTTAATTTATAACAAAGTGAAATTTTTTCTTTCAATAGAAAAATGGCATTAATAAATGTTTAATTTATAATTTTCTTAATTAAATCATTACCATTGACAGCATTTTCAACTTATTACACATTGGCACCAAATATGCACTGAAAATATTTCCATTATTATTCAGTTGATTATACAGAACGAGTGTGCAAAGTATGGTATATCCTTGTCCTGTACTATCAATTTGAATAATAATGGAAAGAAATATGACTGCAAAAGTGCATTTTAATGAACATATTTTGTACATACCTCAAAATATTTACAAAATTAACAGATATTTCGGCTTATATCTTTGTATTAGTGTGCACTAACAATGAGTATAATTCCATCCTTTATTATTCCGGCACGGTACAGGACTAAGACATTTTAGTGGGTACTGAATGCAAAAGTGCAAATAAGTCTTAAGTCGCTGTAAAATAAAATGAAAGAAGTTTAGTAAACTTAGTTTACTTCACATCATTTCCTACGTGGCCGACAATTTTTGAACAGAATGCATACGGGTAAATTTTTAAATTCATCGATGGAAAATGCACATCTATCAAAATTTCAATAAAAAATTTTATCGTGTCCACTGAAATTTACTATAACCTACACAATGACTTTCGAAACCAAAATTCATTTTTTTAACTTTAATATCCTATAGATTGAAACTTTTCACTCTGTGGTCTTACGAATATTCCAAATTCAGTAGATATTAATGTAAATCTCTGCATACATAAGTTAAAAATGCAATGAAACTAAAATATTTCTAAGATATTGTTCGAAATCTCGAAAAAGAACCAAATTCGACAGATATAGAATGTCACTTCATAGCATTTGTGTGCGTGAATAAATTTAAAAAAAAATCAATGTGCAGCGAATTTTATTATTGACACTGTATCTAACTGTTCCGTTCCTGTTTTATTCCCTGCGAAAGAACGATTGTGTACAAACACCTATTTACATCGTGTTTACCTGCGAGTGTGAGCACACATACACGTATTATTAGGCTTATCGAAATGCACAGA